ACATCTTTTTTATTACTGAGACGATATGGTTTTTTTACATAAGTTTTGTGTAAGCTTTCATATGTCTCAGTAGTATATCCATTTATCGCCTCGTATTCTCAAATTGTATCAACGATATGATAAATTCACGAATGTAGTTTTGGAAATTTCAATTTAGAAAGTGAAAATTTTTGAAATAATTTAATGAATAGATCGACCCAATCATTAATCGCTTTCTATATAATTAAATAAGTTAATATTTTATTTTTTTTAGCTACGCTCCGGGGGGGCAATTATTTTTACCTGAAATTTTTGCAGATCGCTTTCCTTAAACGTTTCCAATCGACTCATCAAATACATTTCATTCCATTTCACGGGTTCCATTTTACAAAAAAAAAAAAACTCTTTCCTGTTATCATTTATTTTATAAAAATACGCAGTAAAAATAACGAAAAAGTTTTATTTTATTTATTTTTTATTTTTTGGAATTTATTATGAGCGCAAGCTCAAGTACCGGTCCTGCGAGGACTACTAGATCCTCAGTTCGAAAGAACCCAATACAAATAGTAAAAGATCCAATTATTAAGAAAAAAGTAGCAAAAAACTCCTCGAAACCCAAACAAATTAATTCAAATACAATGGAAGAAATTCATGAAACAGAAGAATCCCAAGATATGATATATGAAAATCAACCAGAAGTAATAATTTTATCTAAAGACAAAGGTAAAAACAAAGAAATAACAACAGAACAAAATGTCCCCTTTGATAAACAATCCTTAGAAAACAATCCCTTGGGAGGAAACGTAGACGAAAGCGAATGGACCCAAGTCACTAACAAAAAGAACAAACAAAAAAATATTGTGAATACCCAAAATCCTACTCTTAATGATGAAGATAAAGAATCAATAGCATCTTATGAGACTGAAAACAGTCATCACCCTGACTGGCGTCAAGAGTTTAATGCAAAGAAATATAAAATTTGAACCTACGCTTCAAGAATCCCTGGGAAAAATATTGGGAAAAAAATTGAACACGTGAAAAAAACCCTTAGACAAGAGACTGAATTAATTTTAGTAAGATCTGAAAACAATGGAAAAGACAAAATGATTTCAGTATTGTTTGACAACAAAGAAAAAATGCAGAAAGCAAAAAAAATAAATGTAAGTGAAAATGTAGAATTGCCCGCATACATGCATGCGGCGCAAGTATACAAATCTAGACCTTTCAATGATAATAATAAAGGAGTCAAGTTGTGAGACATTCCACTTGGAGTTAAACATAATGAACTAAAAATAGAATTAGAAAACCTCTATGGAACCATAGTACATCTCAGATTAATCCCAACAGGAATGTGGCAATTCGCAATTGCTATATTTGAAAATGAAGAAAGTGAAAAAAACCTTTTACAACAATGGAGTATAATAATTGGAGAAGATTCTTTTTGTGTTACCCCTGCAGATTGTAACTATAATCAATTAATGGAACGTGGTAAATACGCAGCACAGATAATTAATCTGCCATTTGGTATTACAGCCAGGGAAATTATCCCAAACATTATGACAATTAAAGCTTTAACATGTTATATTCCAAGAACAAGAAATTATAGGAGAAAAGGAGAGGCAATTATTTCGTTCGTAGATGAAACTGCCCTGAATGGAGCCTTAGGAAAAGAATGGACAAAAGGAGAATATAATATTAAGGTCGTAAATATAAAAACTATAACATGCCATCAGTGTCACTCAGAAGAACATATTGCCAAGGATTGTCCTAGAACAATTCGTGATCGAACATTCGAAAAGAAAAATGAAGAACGGTTTGTTAAATTTGGTGGAATATACAAAAGACATAATCCCAAATTATTTTCTTCCCTGAATAAACAATTTGGAAAGAAAACATTTGCAGACGCGTTAAGATCTGATAATAATCAAAACCAAATTGTCACTAACAAAAAGGAATCTAATAATATTGATGAAAGACTAGAAAGAATTGAAAATATTATAAATAACCTTGTCAACAGAATGACAAATTTAGAGGCACTTGTGAAAAATAATAATAATAATGACAATTTCTCACAATATGACGAATATAGTAATTATGACCACCAAGAAGAAATGGACGAAGACGATGACATACCCAAGGATAATAATGACCCTTCTATCGAAACAACAAATGTAGAACCTGATAAAACTGATAAACTTCTTAACGTAGTTGAGAATATTGGACAACGAATATCTTCATTAGAAGACAGCTTACATTCATCTAAAAATAATAATAGATCACATAGAATAGAAAGTTGGGGATCCCCTTCTAATCAATAGTGTGTAACCAATCAATATATATATATTAAATATGATGGACGATCATAATAGTAATAATAATAATAATATATATAATAATAATAGTCATTCAATAGATAGTAATAGAGATTCACTCAATAATAATTTTAGTTCAATTAATTCAATTTCAGATAATAATAATTCTAATTCTATAATCTCTATAAACAATAATTTAAATTCTAACGATAGTATAGAAAATAACAATAGGGCAAAATCACATAGTAAAATTTGAAAAATAGCAACACAAAATTTAAGAGGAATAAATAGTGAACTTAAACAACAAAATTGGTGGAATTTTTGTATTGAAAATAACTTAGACATTATAGCAATCATAGAAACAAAACTAATCAAAAGACATGAATGGACTATATTCAACAATCAAAAGAAAAAAAGTAGCAATACGATAATAGACAATACCAAAACTTATCACACTTGGTGGGCTAGTAAAGAAACACGAGGTTCAGGATCAGGTGTCGGAATAATGGTATGCTCTGATATTGCGCAACATGTATATAAAATTGATAGATTTGAAGCAAGGGCAATTTGTTTATACCTCTCCTTTAACGGAAAATGTACGGTACAATTAATCGCAACATATGCCCCTACTCAACAACCAAAATACAGGAATGAAATAAAGGAATTAAACAAATGGTTAACAAATAAATTGGGAGAAGCCCTTAGCAAAGATATGATTTCTATTGTCTTGGGAGATTGGAACGCTGTACCAAACCCAAAAAAAGATCGCTTTTCCGATAAGAAATCCATATTACCAGAATCAATAATACTTAAATCAATAATAGAAATGGGATATGAAGACTGTCATCAATTAACCCTAACTAAAGAAAAAGAATACACTTATCATGAATGGAATAATGGAAGCTTACGAAGTGCAAGTAGAATCGATCAAATCTGGATCCACCCTCAATACTTTGATAAAGTACGTGAATACCAAATTGAAGATACAGAATTATTTGCTGATAGCGATCATCATATGGTCACAATATCAATTGAGGCTGATCAATGGTGGGATAACTGTCAATATAGAAGAAACAAACGTGTCAAAAAGCAAAAAAAGTTTTTATGGAATGTAAAAAAATCAACTGTGGAACAGTGGGACAAATTTGCATCTGCCTTAGACGAAGAATTATCAACTAATACTGGGATCCTAAATGAAAATACAAGTTTGGAATACAAATGGAATATTTTCAAAAATGCCATCATTTCAGCTGGTAACCAAAATTTGCTTAAATCAAAGGAACCAAAAAATAGAACTAAAGTATGTAAAAATATCCATAAAGACTTTGGAAAACTTAACATGCTATCTAAAATTCATAGAATAGGAAAAATGTTATCCCAAGGAAAAACAATATCTTCAGAAATGAAAAAAAAATTTGATGATAATTGTTCAATATTAAATTCAAAAAACAAAGACTTTATCCCCTTGTTTCCAGTACACAACCCTGCAACACAAATAAATTGGGTAAAGAACATAAGAGATATATGGTATACGCTAAAAAAAGTTATTAAAATTGATATGGATAGATTACGTAATACCTCCATAGAAAAATATATAAAAAGATGGCAAAGTTTTTTTGAAACCTCTCCAATTAAGATGATTTCATCAGCGCTGGAACGAGAACAGAAAAGAATTGTACTTGACTGAATCATTAAATCAAATAATGATAACTCTGTACAAATAATCACATCTCCAGACTTAATAAAAGAGGAGGTGAAATTACATTTATTTAATTGGACGTCTAACCCTAGAAATAATCCTATTAACTTAACTTCACAGTGGGAGAAACAATACACCCCAAAAGTAGGGATATCAAAATTAATCTATAATCCAGTGACTTCACCTATATTAATACAAGAAGTAGAAGAAACGATAATGAACTTTAGTAATGATAAAGCACCTGGCCCCTCAAAAATTCCATACGAAATATTCAAACACATGAACAATGTGGGTATAACGGCAATGGTAAATATATTTAATGAAATCTTGACGACAGGCAAAGTACCAAGAGATTGGACAAATAGTTCAGTGGTATTAATACCTAAACCAAAGGAATGGGAGGGCAATCTGGAGATCACAAGACCAATAACACTAATGGAGACAATGCGAAAAATCTTTACCAAGATTATAAATGATAGATTAGTGAAGGTGTTTTCGAATCATCAAATTCTATCTCCTAGTAATTGGGCAGGACTTCCTGGGGGCAGGACTGCATACCCCATCCATATCCTGAATAACCTAATAGAAGATGCCAAAGAACAAAAAAAAGAATTATGGCTATTGTTCCAAGACATTAAATGTGCCTTTGACTTGGTTGATCCTGAAATGCTGATTAAATCAATGGAAAGAATAAAGATTCCAGATAAAATTATAAGTATCATAAGAGACATTACTATATATAGAACAGCACAAGGTATTACTGAATATGGTCTCACTAGCCCGTACGAAGTTCAAAGAGGAGTGGATCAAGGAGACAGTATATCACCATTATTGTGGTGTATCTTTTATGATCCTCTTCTGTGTGAAATTGCTTCTCTAGATATGGGATATAATATGCAAGTCACGTGGGATGTAAACTTAGCAAAGAAAACAACAAATGAATTATCTAATCAAACGTCGTCATTAGCGTATATGGATGATACTGTATGGATCGCAGATACTAAGGAACATATGCAACAGATAACACGGGTAGCTGAATCCTTTTTTGACCTCAATTTGATAACAGTAAATTTATCAAAGTCAAATTTAATCGTAATAAACTCTACAAATGATAGAGAAACCAATGCCATTGATTTTGTACAATCAACTCTACTTCCACATGAACCTGAGAATGCAATCAGGTACTTGGGTGTTTAAATATCAGAGGATGGTAAAAAGAAAGAACAACTTAGTAAACTGACTAATAACATTGTTAAAATGACCAATATTTTAAAAAGAAAAAAGTTAACAGATAAACAATTAAGATATATCATAAATCACGTGATATTTTCTCAAACTGAATATTTATTAACTGATATGATCCTACCTAGCACAGTGACCAATAAATTAAACTCTGCAATCAAAAAGTGTTTCAAAAGTAGTGTAGGATTTCAATCTTCTCTACCAGATAGTATATTACACTCTCATTGGGGATATCGTATATTCAATATAGAGGATCGACAATTACAACTACATGCAACAGAATTAATGAATAGATTAAATATGGATAACGAATGCGGAGTCACTACCAGAATCAGATTACAGTATTTACAAAATAGAATATGGTCTGATGAACCCATATGGCAATTATCTGCTGAATCTTGGCACAAATTTACACACCTGGGACTAAATGGTCAGATACTGGCTTTATTGGCAGAAAATGATATTAATTTTAACGTTACTACGCAAAATCAATTTCCAATTTGTCCTATTGGCGGTAATATTTCTATAAGCAAGTTCATGAACTCTGTAACCTGGTATAATATTAATAGAGAAGCTTGTAGAAAACATAAAGTATTATTTATCGAACAACTTATAAATGCGGACATGACAAAAACCTTGAAGTGGTTAAACATTGATCAAGTGAAACCAACTAGTATAATACCTTATTGGTTTAATGAAGTTTGTGCGGAAATTAATACTAGATGGGAAGAAATAACTCAGTCAGCTGACGTTAATCCATTTAATCGAACACAACCTATAGCTCCAGAGATAATTAAGAAACAACTAATGGTAGCAACTAGTTCTAAAAACCAAGTATTAATAGGCAGAGTATACAAAAACCCAAGGAAGTTAGATACTACAATTCCTATTAGACATTATGTAACAGATGTGATGGATGATATTAGAGGTTCTCCTATAGCACCTTGTGATGGATGTGAATTTAATGAGGTACGAACCAAGGGACTTATTACACAAGATAAAGGTGAAAAATTGAAGGGATGTATATTTGATGTAAATATGGATGACATATATACTTTACCATGTCGAAAATCAGTGGTATCCCTCAGTAACAAAAACGATCGTAGACAACGTAACAGATTATTATTATCACCTTTTTCAATGAACACATTTATTAAACAAAGTAAATCTTTGGAACAAGAAAATACAATTCAAGATATAACACCTAACAACAGTTATTGGAATGGAATTTTAACCTTTCCTATAGATATCCAAAAGAAAATTGATGATATACAAATCTTACTTGTAAATCAAAAAAACATAAGTGTATACACCGATGGATCTCTATCATCAAAGGATCAACTAAAAACAAAATATACGTTACAAACGGATAAAAGTAAAGTAATGAGTTTTGGAATTACATTTGACATTTCAGAAATAGACACCCCAATAGATATCTGTGGAAGGATAGAAGGTCCCCCTTCATCTACTAGGGCAGAATTATGGGCCATTCTAGTAGCAATATATGTCGTCCCTAATATGACGTCAGTGAAAATTAATACTGATAGTTCCTCAGCTATTTGGGCACTTAGAGGCTTTTTAAAAAATAAAAAGGGTAAAGCATGGAGCAATTATAAATCTCCAATATTGCTTCAAGCAATTATTGAGCTCATTAAAGAAAAACAAATAGAAATAGATTTAATAAAAGTGGAAGCGCATAGTGGTGTCCCGTTAAATGAACGAGCAGACACGTTAGCAAAAAAAGGACTCTTACATACAGAAATATGTAGTATAAATGAACAACAATTGAGAGATAGAAAAGCTTTGTTCAAATGGAATAACAAAAACATTGATACCTCCATTAAAGAGTTCATAAAGAAAAAATCAGAAATCAAATGGCTAGTAAAATGGCGTACACAATACCGTACTAATAAATGGGCAAATCAATATATAGTTAACTCCACTGATTGGATATCCACCTGGGAATTCATACATGATACCAAAATAGTATCAAATTATACTAGCACTGAAGATCAAAAATATCGTTCATTTAACATTAAAATATTAAATGATGAGTTACCTGTAATGAACAATTTAAATCAAAGAAAACCTACAGTGTATACAACTAACAAATGTTCCTTTTGTAAAACTCGGATAGAGGATTCAATACATCCCTTTTTATGTGGAGAGCAAGCAGAAAAGACAAAATCGAAATTCGAAAGTAGCCTATTAGATACAATACTGGATCACAAGGGTAGAGAGATGGCTGACAAAGTAAAACATGACCTAAATAACTTTACGAACTTTAAACTAGACATTCCTCAACAAATTAATGGAACTTCTCCAACTGACACATTTGGATTAATAGATTATATTTGAGGTTTAGTTCTGGTTACCTTAAAAAACCTATTAATGAAAAATGAAGGTAATATAGAAGATAATAAATTGATTTTAAAAGAATGGTATAGAATTTGTCGCAAATATATGTTTGGCATATGGATTGAACGTACGAAAAAAATATTAGAATGGGAAAAATCTGTGGGAATAACAAAAGAAAGAAAAATGGGAAAAAGTTGTGGTGTAGGACTCAAATATCCCAATTATACTGATACAAAAAAAAATCTTGAACATTCTTCGGAAAAAATAATCAACAGAACAATTAATGCTGTATACTGCACCGGCACGAAATTTTTTAAAAATATTTTTTGTAATATTGACTTTAGTGGGGTTGTAACCTCCTAAATAAAGGGGATTGTAGAATTCGCTTTACGGTGGCTGGTTAGACCGTTAATATATAGTCAGTTTTTATTCTAAATGTATTATTAATTTAAGTTATTTTCTAAATGATGTATATTTTTAATATTGAATAAAGATGAGACCTCACTGGTCGTTTAAAATTAAAATTAAAACTATACATTATACTATTAAATACATTATTGATTATATTGTTGATTACACTCAGATTTACAGTTGTAATATCTAATAGTTGTATTAATTTCTAAATGATTTATATTAATAGTTTCCTATATGATATATACTAATAGGGCAAGTTTACTTGTCAGGTGGTAGGTTACGGACCCGTCTCTCATGAGTTAGTTTGAATTTCATCTTTTCTAACAAACATTAGAATAAGTTGTGTATTTTGTATTATGTAATTTTATATAATGTAAAAACTTTCTCTTTTTCTAGTTAATAAATTTGAGGCAAGACCTCGCTGGAATAAAAAAAAAATAATATATACTAATAAATTAGATTAATAAAGTATAGATAATATAAATAAGCTAATACATGATGATAAAATAATAATATAATAAGATAAAAATATAATAATAATAAAATTTGACTACTAGAATCAATAATTTTCCTTGACTTAGTTATAAAGTTTTACTTATAACTTCATTAAAATTAAAGAGTATAGATAAAATAGATAAGTTATTTGATAGATTTGTTTAATGTTGAACTTAAAGAGTTTATACATTCGAGTTATTTCAAGATAATAGTAATATTCTTATCGAATTTGTTTTAATTGAACAAATTCTAATCACTTTTTTCTTGACGTTGTTACTATAAGTTTTCTCCACTTTTATAATTTTTTATTATTTTATTTTATTCTTATTTGTATTTATTTTATTAGTATAGTTATTTTAGTATATTTAGTA